CAATTACAGTGCATTTAATGAGATAATAGTATAGAGCCTAATGCTTACACTATCTAGGAAAACAATCGAGGTATTTTTATCAAGTAAACTAATCTTAAGTTTAATTAATTTTCATAAATTACTTCAAATAATCTGTAAAAAAACCAAGTATCCAACTTAGAGAAATGGATTGATATACCTATTATCTTCAGATTTACAATGCTTGAAAAAGTGGTAATAAATTATGGTTGTGAGGTACGTCAGATGAAGCCGTAATTAATACTTTGATTTGACAGCGAAAACGATGATCTTAACTACAACTGCCCAAAATTTAAACAAAAATCTAGATCTCAAGTACAGTATTAGACTTACCAACTATGATTGTTTCTAGTACTGTTTGAGCAAAATCTATTGATTTTTTTTTACCAAAAACATTAACTAATATTAATAAATAAATTGAAGAAAAAATTAAATTACTAAAATTGATCCTTGCGTTAAGAATCTAACAGCACGTCTTAATGGACATTTTTTGTAACGAATGAGACAAAACATTAATGATAATCAAATGAAAAACGACTGAGTATTTGCACCTATGCATTTAATGTTTTTTTTTATTCATTTAATATCTCTGTTGTATTATTAAATCACGATAGTAAAATAATAATAATAAATTGTTTCATAAATTCCATTCACCAGTAATAGTGATAAGTGATGACCACCTCAAGAGTAGAGTTCTCTTCATAATTGGCACAAACCGTAAGAAAATCAACCAGGAGGAGACAATAGGTAATCATTTATTATCAATAAACGGTACAACAGAGAAGTGTTGTTCAAACAAAACCCGCTTTGTTGTAGGTTAATCAGGAAAAAAAGTAATCATTTATTATTGTTAGCGTTTGATGTATTATAAATTATTTTGAATTAAATTAAAAATGTACAGTAGTGCTTTCTAATCGGATAGCTTTGTAGTAGAAAATATAATCGCGGTTCTTAGTGTAAAATTATTTATTTTTATTCCATAACGATGAAAAAAATAATACAAAATGGTTTTGGACGCCAATGAAAACATTACCGAGAAGTAATAAAAAAATATATATAATAACGTAGGTACTCTCAAAGCAATTTAATTAAAAACCTATCCCTCTAACGTTTGTCACGTTTTTATTAAATTTAGATAATTTAAGCTTTCTTGCGATACTAAAATAGGAGATAAAACCCATGTTTAATGCCAATTAATAAAAACATTTTTGGAGTTAAAGCTTTTATTATCCTATTGTATAATAATTGGTGAAAAAAAAAACTAGCTTTGATTTTTATGATTTTTAATACCATATATTTTCTACTTAATAAATAAATTAGGTTATCGTCGTCCCTAACAAGAACACTGTACCTATCTTATAAATATTCACAAAATTTTATCTCTACCCAGAACATTTTTGGTACACT